GGTAGCAGCCGTGCAACACTTGCACTCTCCAGCCACCTCCTGACCACTTTCCCTTCTTCATGGACTGACAAGTCAAAATTTTTACTTTTTTCTACTTTCTTTGCTAAGTGAAGAGAGAGAAAGGAATCCTTCCAACCAGCCAACCCCAGCCATGGATGCCGGCCAATTAAAACTTTTTTTTGTTTTTAATTTTAATAAAAATAACTTTTATTAAAACAAAAATAAATCAATCAAAAATTAAATCCCTATTCAATTTTAAAATTTGGGTTTATCATAAAATTAATCCCAATTTAATTCTAACTCTTAAAATTAAATTGATGATCATACACAAAACATTTTTATGCACGAATCAATTCTAATTAAAATTATGAAACATAAAACAAATCGAATTAAATTAAAAATAAGCACAAAAATAAAATTTAAGGCTATTATTTTCGAAAAATCTCAAAATACTAGGGTTAGGGTTCGAAATTTGCATATAATTTAGGGAAAATTTTTGGTCCTCTTCATGCCTAGTTTGAGCATTATTAAATCATATTTAATCAATTCCAAGAGTTAAATAACATTTAATATAATAATTGAACCATAATTTTATTAATTCTCCCTCTTAATTGATTATAAAATTATGAACATGGACTTCAAATAATCGTATTATTATAATCAAGTGTGTTCATGCAAGAGGTTAACTGTCTAACTGATACCACTGTAGGACTTTTTAGGTACTACAAGCGAAATTTTATGAAGCATATTCGTACGCACCTAAATCAGGATCACATGCGTAACACACATGAATCACATATCATACCTTTGAAGAGTGAATTCCACGTAGTTATTCGATCGGAAAATTAGGGAGAGAATAATGCCCTAAGCGTGGCTCCTCTATTTAGTCCATGGGATTCGAATGAGCAGTCTACCAATACTAGATTGGTTGAGTGAAAGAGGAAAATCACGATCACCACCTTTGCAGACAATCGGCCAACACCACTAACCACCACCATACACCACCGACGCAAAGGCAAAGAGACGAACGAGAGTGAGAGAGAGTATGAGAGGAATTGGCTTGTGTTTGCTAATTAGGGTGTTATCTAGTGATCACTAATGTTATCTTTAACCCCAGGCACCTAGTCTATTTATAATCATATTATAACTACACTAGGAAGCAAGCTCAAAACATCCTAATTATGGCCGGCCACCAAAAGGGAGAAGGCCCATCATGGACCTTTTCCTCTTTTGCTCAATCTAGGCCCTTTATGTGACCTTATAGGATCGCTCTAATTGGAATTTAGCCTATTTTAGTATCCTAAAGATCGTTAATACCTCTAGCTATGATATAGGGTCGATCCAAAAGGACGAACTTAATTATCTTCATAATTTGATCCATTTATATATCTAGTAATCACACTTGACGAAGACATAAATCCTTCATCCACCACCGCCCACGGGAATCTCAAACCCCAGCTTCCCCAATCCCCAATACCCCACCGGAAAAACTACCCCAGTCCCCTTTACCCAATTTTTGAACCCACCCCACCCCTCCTACCGACCAGCTGCCACATCCTCCCTTCCCATAAACCCTTCTCTCCTTGAAAAAACCACTAAAAACCCCCCTCGCCACTCTAAAAGCCCACGAAACCCCTCCTAACCCCCCCCCCCCACCCCACCATCAAAACACCTGGCCTAAGTAATTTTAGGATAGGGGGTGGGGTTTTGTGGTCTTTTGGAGCGACAGTGGAGGTTTTTAGCGGTTGTTTCGAGGGGAGAGGGGGGCTTTACGAGGATGGGATGGTGGTTCAAGGGAAGGAGGGGGAGGGGCGACGGGACAGGAAGAGGGTGTGGCTGGCCAGCGGGAGGATTTTAGTGGATTTTTCGGTAGGGTAAAGGGGGATTGGGGTGGCGGTGGCATGTTTTGGGATTCCAGTGGGCGATGGGGTTGGGTGGTCATGGAAAGTGATGGGGGATGGGTTCTTTATTTTTGGTTTATATATATATATATATATATATATATATATATATATATATATATATATATTTATATATATTTTTAAACCGTTAAAAATGATTGAAGAAAGTAAACAGCCTGCAAAGTTGAGATTAATCCAGAATAATCCAAAGTTGGGATTTAAAAGAAAATGGAGCAAAGTTGGGATCATTATTTGTAATTTTTCCTTAATTATTTTGAACTATATTACACCTTTGTTTGTACGCTTATTAGGTTGAAAATAACGCATGTCGCTATAAGAACCAAGTATAGGACAATACATCTGTAATTAGCTTACCATTCGTTTAATTTTGTGTTATCACCCCCGGACAGATATCCTGTTGTGGTTTAGGACAAATATAGAGTTAGTAATCTCATGGAATGTGAATGGGGTATAACCTTCATTAACTAATATTCGTGGTTGCATTTGTTCCATTCGTCGAATTCACGAAAGATTTACTTGTTTCTTAAAAATTTATTGGTGGCTCTCTTCTTTTTTGTCCTTAATCGTTATTATAATGTCAAATTTAACTTATTATTATTGTCAAGTATATTCATACATGCTAAAATTTGCACACTTTAATCGACGCCTACAAGTACCTAAATAGTGAAAAAGTGAAAAACTTAGTACCTAAGATTATGTTTAAGTACATAATAACTTTCCTTTAACTTTATAAAGGTAAATCAGTAATTTTAAGTATCAAAAGCTTACCAAATATAGTGCGGGTCAAACAATATGATATTGCCATTTAAAAAAGTTTATTAGTCATACAACAATGTCATAGATTGTGTTACCGTCTGTAAGGATTAACTAGTTTTTAGACCTGGGCGATGCCTCAGGTTATTACATGTATTACAATAATTGTAAAAGGTATTAAAGAATACATATTAAGATATGTTTTATAGTTTTTATTTATTATTAAAAACACAGATTATGACATAGTTCAATGGTTAAGCTCTTATTTATTAACCTTAAGGTCAAGGGTTTAAATCTTTATAAAGTATAAATCATGTTTCTAATTTTTTATTAGTGTGTAATAACATGGAAGAAAATTTAGGAAGAGTGACACGTGGCATGTAGACTTGTTTTGGAACACCATGGAGAGTGCCACGTGGCATATCGACTTGATTCGAAAAACCTTTTAATATATAGTATGGATAGATATCCATTAGGGGTGCCCGACTCGATTCGAAAACTTTTATATGTGCTCAACTCGTGGCTCGTTAAAGTTTCGATCTAATAAAACTTGCTTGACTCGTGCTCATTTAAGTTTCGAGTCGAGTGGAGTAGCTCACGATCTAAAGTTTTCGCCCATCTATAATTATATACCTTTATATATCATTTTTGTTCACTTTATATTATTATTTTAGGAAAAATGTAAACTAGTAATCCCACCTTTAGTCGGTCTTCCATAAACGATCGCACCTTTTGAAATTCCAAAAACAATCCCACCTTTAACATGGATCTTCCATAAACGATCCATATGACCTATAACCGGTTAAACCGGTCTAACTTTTTTATTTTTTTTTTAAATTCATCTTCTCCCACCTTCCTTGAGTTCCTTCCAGGAACTACCACCCAAATTACCACCAGCCCACCACCTCCTCAGCTCCTCACTCGTCATCAGCCACCACTCACCCAACCATCACCAATCGCAACCCTCACACAACACCGCCAGCCATAAACAACACGCCACCATTGCAGCCCACTTGTAGGCCGATCCTCCATATCCAACAACTACAACATCAATTCACACCCACAATTCAGCCCTTAAATGATCAGGCCCATAATTAAATTAAGAAGGAATAATGTCGATTATGGGCTTTAGAGCCTGAAAACTCCGTCTCAAGCCCCGGAAAACCAGACCCATCCCTGAAAAATCAACCCCTAACCACGACAAACTCCACCCCAACCCCAAAATCCCCACCTAGCCCTAAAAACTCCCCCCAAAAACGCCCTAACCACCCTAAAAAAACCCTTTTTTCAAGCTTCTGATTGGCTGATTGGGTTGTTGGGGAAGGCAGGGGCATGATGAGGAAGGGAAGGGGGGTCATTCGGGGTTTTTTTTAATTATTAAAAAATAGAATAAATCAATCAATAGTCAATACGTGTCTTGTAACCTAATAAAACCGGTTAGCAAAACAATCCAACCGGTCAAGGATTGTTAGTGGAAGATCCCTATCAAAGGTGGGATTGTTTCTGGAATTTCAAAAGGTCGGATTGTTTGTGGTAGCTAAAGGTGGGATTATTAGTTTACATTTTTCCTTTTTTTTATATATATATTTATTATATTAAAGATTTTCTCTTTCTCTTTCGATAATATAAATTAACACTTATTAAGTGTCAAATCTGTTTAAATATAGTAACTTTATTTGTAAATTCTGTACTAATAAAATATATCATCGAGATGCTCACGAGCTTATCGAGTCAAGTTAGAGTTTGCTCAACTCGTGCTCATTAACATCTCAAGTTGAGTTGAATTCAAGTTGAACTAACATGAGTTGAGTTTTGACCGCGCCTTGATCGAGATGAGTTCGAGATGGTCGCGAGTTGATCAACTCAATTAGCAACCTTAATATCCATTAAGGAAATCACCATAAAAATGTTAAAAAAAAAAAAAAAAAAAAAAAAAAAAAAAAAAAAAAAAGCGTAGGCCCATGATGTACTTTATTAACAATTTCTACCAAATTCTCATCTTTATGCGTTCATGCAAAAAGGTGATTATAAGCAGTGAGTGCTGAAATAAAATCAAATCAAGTAAATGAGAACTAGTTGTAGAGTATCCATTAGACTTCCCTAACAATTAATTGATTTTTCAAAGTAAACATTAAAAAGAGTATGAGACAAAATTAAAGCTTATTTCTGCAACAAGAAAACTTATGATGCTTCAACTATCTTACATTTATTACTTATTTTCTCTCTTTAGCTTCTTATGCATTATATTAAATTTTTTCTTCATATACAAGCAAATAATCAGCCTATTCTATTTATTAATTTTTCTCTTTAGCTTCCTTTGCATTAAATTTTTCTTTCAACACAATGAAGTAATAAGCCAAATTTACCCAATAAATAGGAGAATAATTTTCTACGATCTTATATATACATAACAAAGTATTATGGTATTTGATTTTTAGTGATATATTTGACTACATTACAAATAATTCAAGAGCTTATACTTACAAATGAAAAGAAGAATTTGGTTTTGTCACATATTGCTCATGATACCATGGTTTTTGGGTATGTTTCGTAATTTTATTTTTTAACTTGTGTCTTATTTGATTTTTCTCAATCTTTCAAATGCTATATATGAGTAGATTCTTTTTAAAACGCGTAGTAATCTTGTACAAATATATTCGGATGTTATGTTATTGTCACATTGTTCAAACTTCATATATTTTTGCAATATTGGTAGTATGTTCTCGATAAATATTTAAAGTACATATCAATGATTTTGGAAAAAAAAAATGTAACAAAAAGTTAGTTTCAATGAAAAATGAAGAGTTTTATTTATTTTATTAATGTATTTTAAGTAACAGAATGTTAATCAAAATGTTGTGTTTGTTTTGTTGTTGAACAAATTATGTGAAGTGTACACAATGGGACATGTAACGGTAGACGAAAAGGCAGAAGCAACAATACCAAACACAGCTTTATCTCCACCAGAAGGAAACACTACATTCCTTGATGCAACAACTTGGTGTGTAGCAATTCCTTGGGCACCTCAAATGAATCTACAGATAGCACTGGATTGGGCTTGTGGTGAAGGAAAAGCCGATTGCAGTCTGATCAAAGCCGGTGGACTGTGTTACGAGCCTAATACGGTGGTTTCACATGCTTCTTATGCCTTCAATGCGTATTATCAGCAGAATGGTAACAATGACATTGCTTGCAACTTTGGTGGAACATCTACATTAACAAAGAAAGACCCAAGTAATTAACTTTACTTGTCTAATCCCACTAGTTTTCTTTTTTTGTTTTTTACTTTTTAATTTTTATTTTTTTGTACTAATAAGGTACACGAATCTAAAGGTCAACTACCGACTAGGTAGTCATGCTAATTATTCAAAAGTAACTCCTTATTATGACCGCAGTTGGCCACTATATTATGAAAAATTATGAGGGTAAAGGCTTAGATTTTTTGGACCTCAATATTAACCATTTGGCTTAGACCTTGATCATGATAGGTTACAAATGATTAATTTTGAAAATGATTTGCTACGTGATTACAAATGACAAGTTCATAGTAACTAATTATGTAAATGCTAGGTGGTTAAGTGTAACACTTGATGGGGTGTTATCCCAGATATAGAATCAACAGTAGAAGTGTAGTGTTGCAAAAGTTTGCATTAAAATTATTCGGGGAAAAAAATGTGTTAAAAAAATATAATTTTATGTAAAAAAAACAAAAAAACAATAGAAAATTAGAAAATAGAAACTGAATAAAAAGGAATAAAACTTGTAAGAAAGGAAGGATTACAAATTTAGTTGGAATTTATTATATACACCCGGGTGTATGGTTGAGCAAGTAGTATTTTTAATCATTTGTCAATTGAATAAGTAAATGACCCTAGGTGTACATAATAGGCTTTGAGATATAGTTGTTCATGTTCTCCAAACCTTTTAGTCATTTATCATTTAAAATCTCGTAGTTTCTTTTCCCTTTTCTTCAAAAACCCTTTTTATCCTAGACACTTGCTAATCGTATTCAATTGAAACTATGCAGGCTATGGTAAATGTTCTTATGCTGCTTCCAGGTATGCTGAAATTATTTGAAACATAAAAGTTCATCGACCCTTTTATAAATAATCTACATATTAATACGATTCCAATTTTATCAACAGTAATCAGGCAAATATTACTCATATAACAGTAAAATTTCAATGAAATACTGATACGAAGTCTGTTTTTCTTCATTTTTAACAGCCTCAGCCCCCTACGCTCGTCGACCACAAAGCAAGATGCACATAATGTACTCATTGGCATTTTGATGCTATTATACATGACAATATGGTACAATTAGACGTGATTATGTGATTAAAATAGGAGGAGAATATTTAGCTCAAGGACAGTAGTTAAGGAACGCTTTAAACTAAGTACTTTTGTTTGGAGATTAAAACTATTATTTTGTTAGAAGGATGCTTTTCTTTGGAAATAGGTCAAGTTTATTTGACAATGTAATGGCTTTTTGTCTCACATTTTATGGCTCAAAATAGTTGGTTTAGATGCCTATTATCTGCTTTGTATATCTTGTTGTGGCAATACGAATAAATTTTGCCTATCAAGTTACAAATATATAAAATTAAAAATAAAAAATAAATAAAAACACATTTTCTTTCACTAAACAAGTTTGGTCTAACACGTTTATATGTACTTGCTAAACAAGTTTGCAATATCAAAGCCATGTAAAAGATACAAGTACTAATAATGTAATTTCTAAAACACTTGAGAATTTAAGACGGTTTAAGATAACTCACTTTTTTTTTTTTTTTACAAAATATAATCAAACACATTAAAAGCACATATCTTGACATTTGACACACCCTTTTACTATATATATATTTTTCCCTTTTACGGGAGTCTAGGAGCGCGTTACGCGCCATATAATCAATGTTTATGGTCGAGTTATAATAGCTTGTCATGACACCCAAAACTTATTGGGTAGACTTTTGAACGCATATACTAATAAATAAATTGTTGATAATCATACCCTTCCATAGGTACAAAAATGTAACACTTGAAAATATATAAACACTATTTACTTTTTAGTAGTAAGTTTCTTATGGTGTAATATGGCTTTTGTTGTGAGTTATAAAATACAATTATATATCATCCGTCATTTTTAGTTGCAACACTTGAAAATATATACATTTTTCATTTATTTTAATAATTGATCTTTATTTTATTGACTTTTTTTGTTGGCAAAATAGTCATGTGGGATCTTATTAGATTCATTTCGATTTATATATATGTTTTAAATACTTAATCTTTAGATTATTTATATGTCTATAATTAGAGATACAAGAGATTGAAATTATGTATTGATAAGCGTGAAAGTTAAAATGTTACAACTAAAAATTTAACGGAAAAACTTTTAAAAAAATTTCTAATTAGATGATTAGGTAATTAAATTCAGTGGGTTTGTGTGTGTGTGTGTGTGTGTGTTTGTGTTTGTGTGTGTGTGTTTGTTTGTTTTAAAGAAAATTGTAACAAAGTGGGTTGTATCCAAACTATTCCCCCACCCTTTAAAGAGGATTATTCTAATGTTAAATAGTTTTGTCATTAAATTCAACAGTTTTCTCCTCCTCCTTCTCTTTTTCCTCTTCCTCTTCTTCATGTGGCTTAGCTCGGTAGGTGCTTTAATGGAGGGCTCCTTCGCTTTAATGGAGGAGAGAAAGAGAGTAGGGAAGTAAAGGAGGAAGGAGAGAGAAAGGGGGGTTTAAAAAAGAGGAAAAGGTTGAAAGTTGGAAGGAAATGAAGACTAGAAAAATAAATACGGAAGCATAAGAGTTAATATGACATAAAAGGGTGTATGGGTAATTAAACATTTTTAGGGGTAAAAAAGTCATCACACTATTTATAAGAGTTCTTTTGTACTTTTTATAAGGTAGGGATATATAATTTGTCTGAATGTTATTAAAAGAAAAAGGGGCTATTTGGTTCATGAAGGGAAAAGGAAAAGATTCTAGGAAATACGAGAAAACGTAGAGAGCTAATCGCTTAAAATTTCCTTAGTTTGTTATGGACATACAGACAGAGAATCCCCCTTAAGTAGGCCTTAACCATCAATTCCCTTCTCCTTCAACCACCACCGCCATAACTTCAACCAACCCCTTCATCCTACCACCATTGATGTGCCTCCCTTCATTTGTTGCTACCGCCCCTCTATGTTGCCGCTGACCCTCCCTTAAATCTTGTCGCTCTGCTGTTTTGTGATGATTGGTACTGTTTTATGAGTTTTTGAAGTTGTATTTTGGGTTGTTTGGGTAATTTTTAAAGTAAAGAGAGGTGATTTTCAGGGTTTTTTTTGGTTTGCAGGTTATTGTGGTGGATGTGATGTTTCCTGCTGTTGGGTGGTGTTCGTGGTAGGTTTTTTGGTGGGTTGATGGTGGTCAGGGTACAAGGGTTGAAGGGTGGCGATTATGGTGATTGGTTTAAGTGGTCAATTGCGAATCAAGGTGGTCATAGAGCAGAAGGGAGAAGGTAAGTGAACCTTACAGAGTTACAGGGGTGGAGAATGAGGGTACAGGACTTTGGAGGAAAGGAGAGGGAAAAGGAAATGATAAACATGGCTTAACAATTATCATCTAAGGGAATTAGCCAAGTTGATCCCCTTAACTTTCTTGGAAGACCTCTAAACAAACGAACCTGAATTGTTTTTAAGAACTTGAAAGCTTCCATATGGCTAACATTTAAAATAAACAGTAGAGGATGTACTTCCAATTCTTCTTGAGCGTCACAGAGAAGCATGCTGTCACTCCCTCTGTCCAAAAAAAGTTCCACTGTAGGCTTCACCCTCCAAATTAAATTCCAACAGATATTGCGACTGTGCAGACAAATTTCTATTTATCTGAATCTTGAGACAAATATCTATTGTACAATCTCCAAAGTGATTAAACAGTTAAAGCATTTGCATAGAGGATGGTGAAGAACAACTCAACATCCTGTATATTTTTTATCGTTTGAACAAACTGGTTACTTGTAGGTTCATCAAGTAGTAGCTGACTCATTTGTGCAACTCGAGGCAAAAGTTTCACCAATGCTATGCCTGATGAGGGTGTACCTGCTCCTGATTGATCGACAAAAATATCTCTCACTATAGCATTCACCAGCGTCTTGAGAGATACATCTACCACATTTGTGAACTCGTTACTGCACAAAATAAACACTAACTTAATATTTGATACATCAATAATCAGAAAACTGAACTAGTGGTTTCTAATTTTCTATTAATGCAGTTCCTTGAGATTAACATTTACATCAATGATCATACACAGTATATGACAGGCATTACACAAATCTGTTCACATATTTTTGCTAGAAAGTCCTGTCCAGTTTAGTATTATCCAGTAAAATTCTCTCTTACATTATCTACTCCCTATGTCCCTAAATAAAACTATAAAAGCCTCAGTTCTCCCAAAATTCTTAACCCTAAAAAAAAAAATCTCATTTCTCACAAAACTCTTGTCCCTATATATAAGCCTCATTTCTTCATCATCCTCTAACTCACTTCTTTAAATTCACTTTTTATTTAACTCAACTAGATTTTCTCACTTTCCACAAATTAACCCCCACTATATTCTTTTTTAATCCACTTAAAATCAACAATTTGTATTAATACTAGGCTATCTTATTGTGAAAGGATATTCTAGATGACATACAATATAGAATAGAAATGGTTAAGTACTAAAGTGATGAACATTATATGAAATGGAAGGATTAACTAGTTATCATTCTGAGCAATCACGGTAAGTAGTTCTGGACCTTTGAGTTGCTGGTGATGCATAATGGCATGTGTTTAAGTGAGCAAGATATTGGTCAAAGCCTAAAGGATAAGAATTAGGCAATGGGAACAAGCCCATGCTACAGTAGTACTTGCAAGAGCTGAAGCAGAGGGTTATTGCATACCTCGATAAAACAGTATGCGTCTCCGTCATGAGTTGATCGAATTTGGGCATATCAGAAATAATTAAATTATCACCGCTCTGAGATGCAGCTAAGCTTGGCAATTTAGCATCTTCTGGCAGCAAGTATTCCATCCAATGACGAGGCCTTCCCATGCTCATGAATGTGTCAAGTACTTGAACAATAGTTTCATGAAGTATTAAGGGATCAAAGATATCTTTCAGCTGTTTGCTGCAATGACAGTCAATTCAGCAGTTGTTACAAATTCCACAGGAAGATAGCACCTTTAATACCACATGTTTAGTGAAATCTCTTTCAAACAATATATACTTCTCAAATAAATTAATTATTACAGCTTAAATCATCAAGAGGAATTAAAGAATAAATTTAAGAACTTGCTGATTGATACCTATATTCAAGTATAAGAATGTTCTTTAGTCTTCATTTAATTACTTAAAAAAACAATGGTAGCTGATGTGAATAATAACATCGGAACATGCGTGCCTTTAGGAACTCTGGCAAAGAAATATAGTAATGCACATGAATGAACTGAAGACAGTAATTCTTATATATCAATTTTCAGAGTTCGTCAAAGCTTGCTAGTAATACAACCAGGGAAATTGTACATCTGTTACCTTGGTTCCTAAGATCAATTGCTCATATTCAGGTACAGACTACAGTACACACTGATAGGGTACAGAAAGTAGTTGGTGAAGTGGTGGATTGTGGTCAGTGAGTACACATCCCTATGAGACACTGCTGATAAAATTATATTAGCTTCTGAGCTTGAATATGACAGAAAAACCTTTTCTCTTAGATTTATGCTTAAACATAACTTGAAATTTTCATATGATACATTAGTGTGGAAGTTTTTCAATATATATCTTGATTGAAGCTAGGGTTTCCTCAGTTGTTTCTTTGCTGGGCAGTGGAATGTGTTTCTTCTGTGTCTTATTCAACATTGATTAATAGAAGAAAGCCCTGCTCACCATTAGCTGCCATTCCTAATGACTGATGCCTAAAATGGTATAATTAAAGTTAAGGGAAATGGGAAAGTGATCCATGGAGCCCGCTAATGCTTCAAATACGGCTTCAGTTTCCTGGGATTTAGCAAGTGTATAGATATTCTAATTGGAAATAAGTTGACATGTGTAGTTGTTTTGGCAGTGCTAAAGCAGCAAGAAAAATTGTGGATCTATAAGAATATAGACTCCACCCGTCTTAAAATAAGTATATAGACTCCACCTGTCTTATTGGATGGGTGAAAAACACGGTTTAAACGGATGATAGGCGGGTGATGGATTAACGGATGCGGGTGACGGATCGGATTCAGGTGGAAAATTTTAACCCATCACCCGACCCGTTAACCCGATCCATCACCCGAATATTTTTTTTTTAAAAAAAAAACAATTTTTAAAATTTTCTGAAATTTTTTACACTGGTCTAGGCCCAATGATGCTAATGTCCTAACTCATAATTCAATATTCTATTGTAGAATTGCAGCATTTAGCGTTAGACAGAAATTTACTTTGTAACAAGATACGAAAGGGCCTGTTTTCCTGTTCCTTGGAAACAAATCATCAGCAACAACATGCAAACTTGAAGGGGTCGTTTGGTTGGGGGCTATGTTACTCGGACTCTTTCATTTATCTCACGTGTCCGTGTCGACACGACTCGTGTCTGACACCGACACCGACACTTGGACACTTCATTTTTAACTAAAAACACAACTATTTTCAAGAAAATGGGCGAGTCCGATGCTTGGACACCCGTGTCTAATTTGACACTTCATCCGAGTCCAAGTAACATAGGTTGGGGGTATCAAAGGTTATGGGAATCAACTGTCGTTATTCCCTTTAGATGGTGTTGGTTAGGCTTTTTTCTCATTCCTTGTACCCCCCCCCCCCAATTCCCCTACAGTTTCCAAGTTCGATCCCCAACCCCTCTAAGTATTTCCATCCCCTTTCCTTAGCCACCACCATACCTCCCACTAGTCCACCACCCTCCTACCCTACCCCCACAACCGAAAAACCCACCCACCCTACCGCCTCCTTCTGCCGCCCCTCCGCCCACCCCAGTCTACCCTCCGCTTCCCCCCAAATCACCAAAAAAATCCCTCCCCTTCCCCATAACCACTCCCCCTCCCCTCCAAAAAAAAACCCTTAAAATCCTCTCACCGACAGGCCAAAACCCTCCACCACCCTCCCCCCACCCCGAATCCCTAGGCTAGGGTTTCGAGGGTGGGAGAGGGGCAATGAAGGGTTGGGTTTTCGGCCGTCTACGGTCGGTGAGGGGTTTATTGGGGGGAGGGGAGGGGTTTTATGGTGGTTTCGGGAGAAGGGGAGGGGCAGCTAGGGGAGGAGCGGTTAGGGTAGGTGGTGAGGGTCTTCATGGTGTCCAAAAAAAGAGGAAAAGAGAAGTGAAGTGGTGGTTTTATGGTGGAACTCATTCCCTTTGTTGTCACAAAAAAAAAAAAAATTTGTATTCTTCTCCTTTCCCAATGTTTAAGTCATTCTCTTTCCCTTCGATGAACCAAACGGCAAGAGTATCTTTAACCAGGTTAGTTATTTCACAAAGGACACAATGCTCAAATAAAATATATTTCCTGTTTTTTTAAGTTGTTCAACTATGACTTGCACGTTGTCCAATGCACAAATTTTGCCCTTTTGATAAGGTCCAGCTAACTACTAAGGCTTGCGGAGGGAAGCAGTTAACTAGCAAGCTAAATTGTATGCCTTATGTAAGAACAAGCACATACAGAACTTACATGGCCTCAAAATGACATGGACCATATCAGGAATAAAAAGTAAGCATTTCTTTTATTTTATTTTTTTCCGCTTTCATTTGATAAGTGCACTCACGCCCATCGAAAAAGCTTAAAAATAATCCAAAGAGTAAATTTATTAAGACTCTTGATAGATAGTTATGTTAGAACATGTACATAGAGAATACGAGAATTTCCACCTTGTTGAAAATCTAGTGGTGCTACCCAAAGACTTAAATGAATAGCCATCATAGTAGCATGGAATGTTCAATGAGATAATGCTAGTCTTGGAGAATGTATGCAACTATCAAAAGTTCAATAAGGTTAACAGTACTTTGGTGAAAATTTTATACAGCATCTTCCATGTAGTAAAATGTAAATAAGGTTGCCTAAATGATTATGCAACATAATACTCACCATTTTAGGACTTCTGATGCAGCAGCCTGCATATTGAAGATTAAAGCAGGCAACCCATGACTAGCCAGAAAATCAGCCCTAGCTAAAAAATTTTGTTCATCATCCTGACCAATGAGACTAGCTTCTTCCTGCAAAGTAAAAGTCACCGTTATTGGCTTTTTCTTCCACTTTCAATTATAAATAGCTACTACCTTTACATAATAAATAGCTACCTTTACTGTTATTTTCCTCATGTCCGAAGGCAACCGCACAGAAAAAGATAAATAAAGAGTAAGTGAATTCATGAACCCATGAATAAAAATAACACCCTTGCCTGCTAATTGATTACCATGAATTTGCATGAAATAATTCCTAAGAAACTGCCTCTTGTTAATTCAATCATCGTATATATCTCTTAAAACCAAACAAAAAAGAGTAAGTGTGTTTTTTTGTGAGGATCTAATTTTAATGGCAAACTGATGAGTCAATCCACCGATACATCCAAGGTTTTACTACTATAATAAGAGTAACGATGCTTGTAATAAATAGTGGATTTGGTTCCACCTTCTGTTAATTTGTGATTATTGCACTAAAGAATTTGATAGGCCAATTATTACATTTGCATGTATTAAATACACTTAGCCAAAAAGTATATCAATCAATTACCATGATTTGGTGTTCAACAATCAGTTTTTGGCTAAAATAACCTACAAAACAGGAGATCACATGCCCCACACTAGACAATGAATATTAATTTCAGACAGGTGCAGGCCGTGCAGCACCAATGTTTAGCCTAGGATGACACATTAATTGCTGATCCACAACCCTGATTCACTGTGTTGGCAACTTCCTTTTAGCTTGTATCTTCTATAATTCTACAGTAATTGATTTGCTTTCTTTTTCTCCAGCTACTAAAATGATTCAGTTCCAAAAGCTGTCTCATGCCCACCGATCAATTTAGCAGCAGTTCAAAATCTCTACACATAAACCTATATTCAACTACCATGAGCCCTTTTGTCACATTATATAACCTTCTCCAGTTCCCCATGTCTATGTGCCTTGTATATGTGTTTCTTAAATTACTGAATTTTACTACAAAGCCATCCCGCTAAGTAAGGTATGGCTCCAACTATTCATAAAGCCCTCCGACCAGCCCTAGACATGGCACATCGAGATATTTTGTGGTTGGAGTTTGGATACAGTGATACAGAAGGATAACAAGGATTCAAAGCTTTGATTTGAAAATATCATAGCTCATCCCATTAAATATGCTTCATCCATTTTATAGAAAGTAGGCAGCACACGGGCAAATGAAATACTAAGATAAAATATAAGTATCACTAGAATTTGCCTCAAATAATTACAGAGCAAAGGATTCAGTGATTTAGCCCCTTTCTCATGCCAAAGTATTAAGCCTAAGGTTTTACATGAAGTTTAATAAAACACTTTATTTAAGCATATTGTGGGTCCTATACCATCTCGAATTTCCCCTGTAAATTTGACATAATAGTTTCACTAGTCTCCCTACTCTTTCAGGGCTGACAAGCCAAATATACTTCTGGTCTTCTTGTCATGAATAGGAAATCATAATTTGCATTTATATCTATTACCAAATAGGCAACCATATCTTTCACCTTGCATTCAAATGAAATGACACCTATCGAATATAAACGTACATTGAAAACACATGCAGATTAATCATGAGAAAATTTTATTCATGGCGCGAATAAAAGCATATGGTCATTCATTTTCTTGTAGGTAAAATTTACAACCTCCTTTAAGAATCCAATTCTTTATTTTTATTTTTCAACTAAGTTTATCGAGAGGCCCACTAGAGACCAAAGATACCTGAAGAAACAAAAAAAAATTCTGCCCCCAGAGAAAATAAGGAAATGGTTTATATGTTCAGCAGAAATATATTTGACAAAAAACTGTTTTAAGTTATCCTACTTGATTGGGTATTCTTTTAGATATCATTAGATAAAATCACATTAAGCATATTTCTCATCTATTATAAAGAAACGAGTGGACAACTCTGCAAAAGCCCTGTTACATATTTCACTCACCCAATCACTTTTTTGTTGAGAAAGTATCCTTAGGAATCAGATTTTGCAAAGCAGAAAATGATAAAAATTCAAATTAATTGTAACAACCTATTTGAAGGAAATAAGAAGAATTCACAAAAGAACAGGAGTGTCGATAATACATAGGTATATATAGAATATAAGATTAATCTTTTAGTTCCATAACCTAATCAGATTGATATTTGGAAACAACAAAAGACATTGATACTTGTAAGTTTTAGCCCATCCAAAGTTTTCAAAATCAAAGCGCAAGTGAAAGACTTCAATTTATAAAACCTCTTTATCTTCCACATCCTTACAATTGCCACTAATTGCTTTAAATCAAACATATATTAAATAAATTTAGGACAACACATGAACAAATTATGTTCACTAAACATCTAGAATTTCAAATAAACTAGAAGTCAGGGCCCAAATTTGCACCCTCTTTTCCTCTTGCCAACATAGATTGTTACAACAGCAAGCACAACATCTATAAAATCAGAAAGTTAAAAAGAAAAAAGCACCTAGGAAACAGATAACATTTCCACCATACAAACTCAATAGAAATCAAATGGTTCTGATTTTGCTAGAAAGAGGCCCAAAAAAGAGTAGATGTATATAGCCTTCCCAAAAACACCTTAGCAGTAAAATAACAGGACTACTACATCACTGAAAAGCAGTTGTAGCAATCATTTGATTGTTTACTTCGAGATCTAATATTCAAATTTCAAATATTAATTAATACTTCTTTCCCCCTTTTTTCACTAATCACTGTTTATGTGGTCAAAACAAGAGAAAGTTGACCGAATTTATCAACAAGTGATAGCATTAGCATGGGAGATCTTAATAGATTCATCTCAATGTGTATTTTCAATGAATCCACTAAACAAATTTTTACCAATGCACAATTAAGGATACCAATGGTCAAAGACACGCACTAAAGACCATGAAAAGGCAAGTGAGTTTAAAATAAAGGAACAAAGGGAGTATTGATCTATTTTAGCATCAATGAAGACATCTTTTAACATCAATGTAAATTCACCAAGAAAACCAACAATTGAAAGTTATGTCATGTTCTCGGCCAAAAAATGAAAGGAAAAAAGAATAAATGATGAAAACAGAATTCTTGTTTCCATTTATACGCCTTCATTAAGCCAAACAGCCCTGCAATTAAAGATGACAAAACTAGAATAGGAAATCAAGATACATGATATTGAAGAGGACAAAGAGATCCTATTAGCATAAGAGAAAGCTTGCATATCTTAACAATGTATTCCTAATAATCTTACTTCGACTTTGTAAAGCGGATCCATATAATAACCTAAGTCTTCATTAGATCATTCAATTCCCTTTTTTTCATTGGATCCTTAGATTTCTATTATCTTTGCAACACAAGGTCCAACAACAAAGAGTTTTAGGGTATAGTTTAAAAAGTTCAATAAAATGTTATATGCTAGTTAGGGTATCTCATCTCCCAATCCAAAGTTGCTTTCTTTTTGTAGATAATCTCCCAATTTGATTAATTTTGTTTGAAGATCAAATTAGAAGTGAAACAAATGTGGCTTATAGATTCGCTAAATATAGAATTAAACATGTATGCAAAAGTCAAATTCCTTCGACATGAACCTTTTACAAAATCAATGGATCACCTTCACATATAACATCCAAGAAGAATCTATCTCCTTATAAAAGGTGTGTCATGAGGGTTGACAAGAAGCATCTTAATATCATAATTTATAATACATAAGGAACAAATACTTACAAGCAATGGGGAGCTTTCCTGACATCTTGCAATGTCAATGTAAAGATGTCTTCCAAGTATGTTCACTTGTACTCTAACAAATAAGCTAAGCATAGTAACCGACCAAATTGATGTAACCATTTTAGTGAAGCCTGGCAAGAAAAGACTTCCGTTCAGAACAAAGAACAAAGCGTCCACAAATCACAGTCAACAATTAAAACAGTAATCCAAAGACAACATACTCAGTACTTTGAGTTTATCCCATAGTTCAAGTTTCTCTGGAAGGGTCAAAACATCCTTTCCTTGTTTCAGCCTCTCCGTCAACACCGAAAGGTTTAACTCCTCATTTGTCCTAGTGCTTAAGAAGTTCATGGCTCGAGGCAACGTCGTTGTGCTAGCTATTCTCTGAATGGTCTCGAAATGTTCTTGCATTCTACAAGATGGAATGTAAGATAATCATTAAAACCCCAAAAACAGTTTTTCACCAAGATTCACACAAACACAGAAAGAAATTCATATTAACTGAGCCTTAATGCTTTCATCATTCTCCCGGCGGTCAGCAAGTTCCAATTCCAGTTCAGCAAGCCGGTGTTTGTGAGCATCATACAACTTGTACCAAAAATACCCAGTTCCAGCAACTCCCAATGAAACCAATATTTTCTTCTTGTGCCTTTTCCAAAAACTCTTATTGAATAGAAAGAAGTCCATTTTCACAATTTCATCCTCACATTAAAGGGTTATATTAACCAAATTCTGCAATACATCAGCAGCAAAATTTTAATCAACTATCAAATTAGGCTCAAATTTGAATAGCAAAATTCTAGATACGACATGCTCGTTATAATCCTTCACGATTTCAATATTCAAATAGATCAATAATCCACCTTAGAAGAACCCTAAATTGAATATAGTGAAATTAAAATAATTGTTAACACTAGATTTGCGAAATCAATAATCGATAATTTTGAAAAAATATAATATACCTCGGAAGCTGCATCAAATCTTCAATGGAGGAGAGAAAGCTCACAAGCTACTTCAATGGAGAATTATACCTCAGAAAAGAATAATTACGCTCTAATGGAGGAGAGAGAGAAGAGAGGGTTCAGTATAACGTGGAAAAGCTCTCGAGGGGAAAAACGAGGAGAAAAACTGGAAAAGGCACAACCCTCTAATGAGTCGGTCTCAGGCTCTCAGCCCAGCAAATTGCTGGGGTAAAAGTAAAATTTCCCAGGGGTAATGAGGTAAATGTGCATGGCCTTTCATTTAAGTTGTATGTATTGGAACTGTGATATACGCATAAAAATACTAATACTTCCTCCGTTTCTATTTAGTTGACATATTTGATTTAGACACATATATTAAGGAGATGAGAGAGAGAGAATGAAAAGGCAAATGGGGTAGCTTATAAATGCAAGTAAAAAAGTTACCCTAAAAGGAAACGTGTCAACTAAAATAACTTCCAAAAAAGAAATACGTGTCAACTAAAAAGAAACGGAGGTAGTATATAACATGATATATCCGTTTTATTTTAGTTCTTGTTTGCTTCCATTCTCGCTTTTCCTTTCTTCTCTCTCTTCTCTAAGTTGTTCATCTTTCACTTCTCCTAAGTTGTTCACATTCTCTTCTCTTCTCTTCTCTTCTCTGAATCTCTGAATCTTGTTGAACAATTGAAGTCCTAAGAATCGAGAGTAGACCAATTATTTCTGCGTGCAGACTGTCGGGGAAAGATATTCTCGATCAAAACTTGTTCGAGGAAATATTATTTCAGAGAATTTCATGCGCAATTGACTGACGTAGATGAGGCATTGAGGTGAGTCTTTGATTGCTTAATCTATGTAATTATTGTTAGAATTGCATGTGACTTGGTTATTTACTAGCAATTATCAAGTTAATTTACAATTCTTACTTAATTTAGGGCATCTTATGAAGATGCATTTTCTAATTATCAAAATTTAGGTTGTTGCATGTTTTTAGGTTTTCTTGAACCTAACTTTGTACTAAATTTCGGTTTTTTACAACAATTTTAGTTGTTTTGTACTTGAAATTTCGTTTAAAACTTAGCAAAATTAGGGTTTGTGATAATTTGTGAGACAGATTTGTAATAATTTGTGAATTAGGAATAACATAGATTTTAATATGACTTTATTAAAAATATACTCCCTCCGTTTTTAAATACTTGCTCCATTTCTCTTGGACACGCATGCCGATGCTAATCTTTGATCACTAATATCTTTAATTATCAATAGGTATAACTTGTAACAATTGAAAATTAATAATCTATTCATTGAGATGACTCCAACAAGTACCCACTGTAGGGAATATTTCAAGCGTTAATCCCCTAGCTTGAACCCCACTGTGATCATACACTAAAGTACGGTGGCGTCCAAAAGGGAAGAAGATAGAGCAAAAGAGCCGCCAACAAGTTTTTTTAGGAACTTGTAAACCGTTCACGAGGTGAAAGTTACACCCCTTAATGATCCAAGAGATCGTCAACTCCATAAGGTCTTGAACCAAACAGGGTTCGAGGATGAAGGTACAAATCCAACCTAAAAGATATTGAACTTGTCATAATAATAGGCCTCTACTTTATTCTGATCGAATTCATGTGCGCTTTTTGATTAACATACAAGCAATAGGATTAACCCTAAACCTGTTTATCTATGTTGGTTGAATTTAAATGCACAAATAAAACTATTATTGGCGATCACTTGAATTATAATCATAATTAACCCTAAACAAGATTATTAATTATCTTATTAAGCGCGACTACAAGTACCAATTCCCTTTAAACATGCATAAAAGGCGTGATCAAGCAATAAAAATATGTATAATCAAGCAACATAATAATAAACATCATAATCAAAATCATAATAATAATTATACCAATAATCATAATAATCATGCTAAAGCATAATAATAGCAAGATCCTAGGCATGATACTAACAAGATTAATAACAAACCCTAGCATGTCACTAAACAATAAAGATCAAATCTTTAACCCTAACATGATACTAACAATCATAAATATTAGGAAGAACATAAAAGGCATCGTACTTTTAATCATACTTGATATTAAAATTACCCTAGACATGATACTAGGAATCTAAAATAACAACCTAAGCATGAACTCTGCATCATAACATCAATAAAAACCATTAAAGTACTTACTTTGATGCCTCGTACCTCTTTCTAATAACAAAATACACACGTTAGTAACTTCAAGGAAAATAATAAACAAACAATTAAATTAAATAATTGAAAAAGAGATTTGGGACCAAACCCTCAGAAATTAAACCTTTCACGTCTAGGGCGAAGACAACTTCGAATATGGCTAGGTGTTTCTAGATCTAATGAATGCGGAATTTTTATATTTGAGAGAAGGCTAGTTTAGAAAAAGAGAGAGAAAATAATCAAGAGAATCTTGATGAGAGTTGGTGAATGAAAACGGAGTTTATTACGACGTTATTTATAGAGAAAATCAGCAAAAAAGATAAAATATCAAAACAGAGTTCTGGCGCACGTAAAACTGAGTTGGCGCCAACGCTGGCTATTGGCGCCAGGCGCCAACATTAGCGCCAGGCGCCAATGCTAGCGCCAGACGCTACAACTGGCGTTTGGCGCTGATTTAGAAAATCACGCGTTTTCTTAGATCAAATAAAAATTATCGTACAGGAGGATAAAATCGTATTTTCCTTAAAAATGCTCTTTGATTCTAATTAAAACTCTGAAAACTCAACAAAAGTCAATTTATCAATGCTAATTGAATTAGGAACGAAAAGAACCTTCTAGAAGAATTTAGAATACTAAAACCATTCCTAATTGCATTAGGAATGATAAATCCATATTAGGCCCTCCCCTAGATCATTGGGCCGCATATAAGGCTCAAACCGGGCTCAGTTTAGTAAATTGGCCATAAATTCCTCAATATTCATCGGAATTGGGCTTATAATATATCGTTGGAAAGCTCTTGTCAAGCCCCATCCAACTACACTACTATTGGACCCATATCATGGACCAACCAAAATGGATTGGCTGTTTTCTTAAAATAAGTTTTCAAAAACAGATAAAAGAGAAAAGAAATTAAAACTATCCACAACACTAGACTTTCCACACTTTCACTTCATTCGATTATGATTCGACGCAAAAGGTACTCATCACTGGGTTTGGTTTTGGGGAGACACAAATGGGTGTCTACAGAAGCCCCCACTGTGACTGAGTTTGGAGAAACGCGAGTTTCGAAAACAAAAGTCAAAGTATTGATAGAGACGGAGAATGATTCAGAACGTTCTGCGATCCTAAATCATCCTTGCAACACCGATACCTGCAAACTAGCGTTAGTTAAACAGATAAAAGAGTTAAGAAACGCGTATCTTACACTGTCGAGCACACGTCTCTAAAAGTAACCGATTTGTTGCTGCTTTTTCTGTTGTTTTGATGACCTCCTGCCAAGAGAATGCCATCCCGCTTGAAAACCGCTACGCTTGTAACTACTTCCAATTTAGAAGATTGCTTCGCCTGAAACTATGCTCTTCTGCTTTGATAATATTCCACGTCCAAGGGAATACCATCGAAGATTGCTTCGCCAGAAACAGTCCTCTTCCTCTTTGATAATATTCCACGTCCAAGGGAATACCATCGAAGATTGCTTCGCTTGAAACAATCCTCTTCCGCATTAATAACATTCCATGTCCAAGGGAATACTATCGAAGATAATTTTGCTTGAAATCACCTTCAGTTGTTTGTGACAACTCTCCACAATCTAGGGAATTCCGTCGAAGATATCCTCGCCTGAAGTTATCCTCATTTGCGATAATTTTCCAAAGAAATTACCGAAGATCTCCGCCTGTCGATCCTTAAAAGCTCGCTTGAACTTTGCTTCCGCTATGCCTGTACGTCGGCGCTTTTTGTTGCTTTTGAACCGGTACGTCGGTGCCTTTTGCGAATGAACCACTACGTCGATGCTTTTTGTTAATGAGCCAATGCTTAGGCGCTTTAAGCTAAGTGAGACGATCTTTCATCAGGTCGATCACTTTATGCAATCAAGCCGATTACTAAAAATCGTGTCAAATTGCTTAGAGGGGCTAAGTGGCATACCAAGGAACCCAAAATATATTGCAAAAAAGGTAGAACAACCTCACTGAGTGGCTGAGGGTCCTGGCGCCGCTGAAAACTCATCAGCGCCGCACAACTGGCCTTAGCGCCAGACGCTGGAATTGGCGCCAGGCGCCAAGCCTATATTTTGACGCCAAGGTCTAGCGCTTGGCGCCAGAATAGGGTATTCCTTAAATACCCTTTTCTTCTTCATTTTTGCTGTTTGCTCGTCGCGTTTTGCTCGATTATCTCCAGAAATTCACTTGCTTCGTTTTTGCTCGTTTCTCAACCAAATTCGCTCAAATTTGTTGCAAATCAAAGCTCTTTTCATCCACTTTCCCGATCTATGTAAGTTTTTACCGAACTCACACCGGTTTATATGAATTTTGCACATGTTTATATTCGAATATCATGAAATTTCGAAACTTAGAATGCTTAATTCTCTTTATTTGTCAAATTTTATGCCATGAAATTGCTTGATTATGTTTATATATTTCCTTGGGAGTAATTTGAGAGTTGTTTGACTCAATTTGGTGAAGAAATGAATGAATTTCCATTGTTGAACCTCTTGAGGTCGGGAATACAATGTGGCCCGTTCTTGATGTTTTTTGCTAGCAATTCTTGTCCAATTAGACACAATAATTACTATAGTATTGTAAGAAATTGTTTGATTGCTTGGAAAATGCCGTTATGCTCAATTTGAATTTGTGCTCTGTTTTAGTACTACGTACTCTGTTTTTTGCGAACATAGTATCATGCGGCTAGGAGAACCTTAGATATTATAGAACCTTAATTTATGATAATTCTGCACAATGTAGCATGGCTAGACAGCGAGGCTCTGGGTCACGGTCCCGAGACACTCGACGGGAGAATGAGCCCGTGGAGGACGACGCCGAGCCGTCCACTTTGCTTGGTCGACTCCCCGAGTGGGATGAGCGGACCTTGTTCTTTTCCCCCGTCCACCACATTTCTAAGTGGGTGAGACGGGGTATCACTGTTGGGAGGACGCGTTGTCATGGCTCTGGCTATGACGGCTTGGGCGATCTGTACAAGATGTACATCGCCAGAGATATCGAGATAAGACTCCTATG